AATGAGGGAGTACAGGGGGACATGGGATGGTCGTCTTTTGAGAGCAGGGAGGCAGTTAGTAAGTTGAAATTTGAACAAAGGTTGACCGAAATGGATGATATGCGGTGGGCACGGAAGGTATTCAAGTGTTTATACATGAAAAGTTTAAGCACAAAATGGACAAACCGAACCCGAAAGCTTACATTTAAATATCTACACACTGGTGATGGGGCTGAACAGACTACCTCAGTGAAAAAAGGGGTGAAAGAGGCAGAGAGGAAAATGTGGGAAGAAAGAATGCAGGATAAATCAGCTCTAACAGTGTACAGGTCACGAAAGCAGGACATAAGAAAGGAAAATGTTTTTGACAATTCAATAGGAAGTTCTTTGCTGTTCGAGGCGAGAACGGGGGCTTTGAGGACGAGGACGTATAGGGCTAAATTTCAGGAGTTAGACACTTTATGTGCTGCTTGCCATAATGAGAGTGAGACACTTGAGCACTTGGTATTAAAGTGTAGTCTTGTACGAATAGTGGATTTTGAGTTCGAAGCGAATTCGAAGCGAATAGTGGTTTTGGCCGAATATTTTCGATTCGAATATCGAATAGTTTTTCCACGCCTTTCACTACCATTGCATAATGGTTAGACGTAAACCCAGCTAAACTTGTGAAGGTTATTCCACTTGTTCATTTATAAGCTAAGTTTAATTTATCTATATTTATGAACTGTGACTTCAGAAGGTCTGGTGTCTTGGGATGGCAAGTAAACGACGGATTTGACATAAAATGAATCCTGTAGAGATGGCCAACTATACCGATTGAGTGAATTTACAAATCTTGCTATATAAAATATTATTTCTTGAATCTTAAGTTAAAAAAGAATTAATCGCGCATGATGAAGCACAGGTTGTAAAAGCTTCTCTGCCTAACATAGTATACTCTTGCATAAAAGTTTAATTTTGAAACTTTTACTACACTGTAGGTATAGACATTCACAAAGTTTCCATTTATCTTCAAATACAATCGGCACGGGCGCACCATCCCGCTTTGAATGTATGCTTTTTTTCCGTGCACGCAATTACGATATTGTTTATCGCGGCGGGTTACCCCGTTAAGTGCGCTTGTGACCGAGCACCGAAGTAACGCGGAGAAGCAAAACCCACGGAGCTCAGTTCTGCGGGTTTTGTTTCTCCGCAGCGCAGCGGTGCTTGGTGAGAAGCGCACTCAACGGGGCTAACCCGCCGCTATCAACACTTCGAAAAACGCAAATAGTGCAGTTCTTTTCGAAGCGAATATCGAATAGTGTATTATTCGGAACTACTATTCGAAATTTAGAATATTCGCACGACCTTATTAAAGTGCACGGGGCTTCGTCCTGCACTCCCTGAGGGGGTAACAGATCTGGCCGGGGCCTTGGGGTTTGCTGGAGACGATGGAGGGACGGAGGAGAAGAGGATTACAGTCACAAAGAGGCGATTAGAAGATTGGTGGAAATTATCGAGGGAAAATTGAATGATGCAGAACTAACTAGCACAGCTGGGGACAGGCGGGACAGAGGAACATTGGGACTCCCTCCCGCGTGGCTCCGGCCCAAAGTCTCAACCCTGTCTCCCAGTGGGTCCGGTGCGGGGGTAACGCCGACAAGGTCTGACCAGAGGAAAATTGGCGACTCCCTCGCCGGGGGGAAGAGGCGGGGGTGATGTTTTTAGTTTTTTTGCCCGATCCCCCGAAGGTCATCCTGGGGCGCGAGAAATCAAATCAAATGTTTGTCTTTCTTAGACTTAGGCTAGGTGGCGCAAGCTACCACCCGATACAAAGGGTATAGCCAGTAACATTTATCCATTCATGCAAGCGAGTCAACGGAAAAAAAAAAACTAAAATGACCGGCTTTTTTTTTCTTCTTCTTTAGATTGCCAAGTTTTGGGGAAAATATTTGAGTTTAAACGTAATGATCGTAATGATTAACCGGGAACTGAAAAAAAAAAAAAAAAAAACATGTTTACTGGGCTTACAGTTGTCTTCTGGAGCGACAGAAAACAATCCAGCCCCAAATCCAAACCGTTGTTTTTGTTTTGCAAGTTCCTCCGGTTCCTCCGTTTGATATTTGCGATGAACACGGTTCGAGGACTGCGACGAGAGGACTCACGGTCGCCTCTTTATTGGGTAGTCCTGTGGAGCCTTTCCGACCCGCCTATATTTCCACGACCAACTCTTTCGGTCCTTCACCGTGTGCTTGAAATAATTCCCATCATAGTGCACAGACTTGCTAGTGTCACAAAACCTTCAGCCTAGTTATGCGCAGATTTTAAGTTGTGAAGCTCTCAGATAGAACGCGCCAGTATGCCCTGTACCCTCACTCATCTAAAACAGTCGCAGACGATTGCAAGGCACTCGATCGTACCCAAATCGTTTGAACATAATTCTTAATTTGATCGCCTTTCCTTTTTGCTTCATATGGTGCGAGATTATCGCTGCAGAAGACACGGCGTCAGGATCAGGAAATGTCACCTTGATTCTGGACTCGGTGCGTCTTGCACTCATTTATATTCTCCACCCGAAGGTGAGTAGCACAATTATTGTTTGCATTGAAGTAAACATAGGAAGTAAATCATCTGTAAAGCATTGTTGGATGGCGAGATGCGGGTTTCATTGAACTGTTCCGGTTTTTCTCCCGATCCTCAAGACAGGCGGACCTTTTCCACTACGCTTTCCAGTCGGAGATGAAAGTCTGGAGTTGGACACCACCGAAGACTCGCAGAAATGTTCTTAGGATTGTGAAGATGTCACGTTTTGCTTGTTTGCTCAAAGCTTTGTACAATGTACTCTGTGAACCATGTTCGGGAGTGATTACTAAACTGCGTCGTCCGTAGACTCCATCCATTTCGGCCCGAGAGAAGATTTATTATTGCAAAAGTCTCTGTCAATCTTCTGCTGCTGCTTGTTTAGTGACTGTGTGATGCTCCTTGTTGTGTCATGCTTTCCACGAAGTTACTAGCGATGCCTGCTTCCCTAATGCAGGCAAAATTTGTAACAAGCTCTCACTCATCCTTTTTATTTTTAGATTAATTTGCATGTGATCTTATGGATTATGGCGACGTGATATGGATGTCAGGGTCAACTTTGCTTATGTATCAGGAAGATGACACATGAACTCCCGTAACACATTTGAGCTTTGCAATTCATGCATTTTGATTTTCAAGAATTTTTTTTTTCTTCAGAAGCAAATGAAAGTAGTGATTTGAAAGTCTGTAATTCTTGAGATTTTGTTAATTTTTGGTGCAGTGTGAATGCTATCTGAATAACCAGAGCACAATTTGATTATGACTGCCATTGGTATAACTGTATGCTGTATTCTGTTTATTACTTTGTGTATAACACTCTCAAAGCTACTTGCATGAGCACATGGCCTCATCTAGCATCTTATTTGCACAAAAGCATGTGTACCTTATACAAAGTGTTTTTGGAAACACTGGCCAAATCGCTCCTGCGAAAAATATGCATCGAACAAAAAAAAAGGTTGATACCGTGGTGGTTTGTGCCAAAGTGCCCAGAAAACTATTAACATTCAGTATAACTAAAAAATTAATCACTTTTTAGTAATTAAAAGTTGAATTATTAACTTTAAAGGTGTGGTTTCAGTTAGAAACAATGCGAACCATCCAAGACTACTAAATCCACCCATATTACAATGATATAAGGCACGTGCAGCATGGGTTTCTAGGTTTCGTTTTTTTTTTGTCGGAGTGCATTTCCGTGCCAGCAATCCCCCTCTCGCCCGGCCGTGGCCAAGACGTGCAATGGGCATGCATTGCCATGCACCGACGTTAGAAAGGCATGCACCGCTATGGCACCGACATTAGAAAGGCAAACGTCATGTGGCAGTCTGGAGGATTTCTTATCTAACTTCTTCTGGGTGTGATGCGTGGCGGCGCACATACGTTACGCGTTTTGGCCATGGTGAGCGGGATTGCTAGTGCACAGATGTGCTCCGATAAGATACCGGAACCTAGAAACGCGTCCAAATTAAGACATCCTTTTTTTAACGTTGTAAAATGTTGTGCATGTCTTATATCGTTGTTATGTGGGTGGATTTAGTAGTTTTCGATGATTCCCAGCAAGTTTCTAATTGAAACCATGCCTCTAAAGTTAATAATGAAAAATTTAATGACTGAAGAGTAATTAATTGCTTAATTATACTGAATGCTAATAATTTTTCTTAATGGGCCCTTTGACACAAACCACCACGGCATAAACTTTTTTTTTGTCTGATGAATAGTTTTTGCAGGAGGGATTTGGGCCACGTTTTCAGAAACACCCTGTATAGTACTGTAAAACCCTTAATTTTCGCGAGCCCTCGATTTTCGCGAATTTCACGAATTGAATTCGCGAAATTTAAGGGCGCGCGAAGATTTCGGTCTTTGAGACTTTTAATGCAGGCATCTGGAATTCGCGAAATTTAGTGGTCGGGATTATGTCATCTGTGACCGATTCGCGAAAAATAGGGGCTGCGAAAATAAAGGGTTTTACAGTATATGAAATTGAGATGTTGCAGGCTCATGTCTGCAACTTTCACAGTGATACACTATAAACGTGAGTCAAAGTCTAGTAACTTGCCCTGATGTCTCGCTTGTATGTTGTTTACCCAAACTGAGGCAAGCGTCCATTATTGCATTGTTCCCTGCAGCTGATCATGTAGCTTTCCTTTTGTATAAGTTGCCTCGTTCAACATTGTTTGCATTCTCTGTGATAGACATGGTGCAGGCAGTGCTTAATAGGACAGCTTTTTTATTTTAAAAATTTTGCACTTCTGAGTTCAGCAACTTGCCAGGAAACGTAACTGTTTTGAAAACGAAAGCTGAACTAAAGTACAATATACGGAGGTAAATGCACAGCCTAAACACCGTTGCAGTGACTAGAACGCCCAGTGCAACAAACATATCTTCCGAAAGCATGCATATACATCGTAACTTCCCGCCACAGGGGTACGAAGTTATTTGCACAAAAATACTTTTGGTGCGGATAACTGAATTGCCCGCCTCCTAACGGATTTTGTCGTCTGCTTCTGCCAGGCACCTGCTGGGGAAGCGTGGTGGGCCAGTACGCCCCACCCACCTTCGTGGACGGTGTCGGCTACTGCTGCAAGCAGTGCCCCTACGTGAACCCGAAGCATGCCCAGATGACCCTCCACCTGCGCAGCCACGCCGGCCTGCACGTCTACGAGTGCACCGTCTGCAAGCTGCTCTTCCAGTCGCAGAAGCACGTCGATGTCCACATGCGCGCCCACGCGGGGGACAAGCCCTTCGCGTGCACCCTGTGCTCCTTCACTTTCCGGCGCAAGGTGGGGCTGCTGGTCCACATGCGTGGGCACACGGGCGAGATGCCCTTCACGTGCGGCGTCTGCAAATCGGCCTTTGCGCGCAAGGGCACCCTCCTGGACCACATGAAGACTCACACTGGGGAGCGGACCTACGGCTGCAACTGGTGCCCGCAGGTGTTCCGGTCGAGGGTGGCCAAGCTCAGGCACACTCGGAGGACGCACAACGTGTAGACAGGTCTAGGTGCCTTCGTTTTGAATGCGTAGCATTTATAAGGCCGGCATTGGGCCCTTTTGTACCTGGGCCTGGGACGTAGCCTTGGTGACGTCACGGTGTCCTGTAGTATCGTGCAACGTCATGATGGCGCACGACACTAATGTTGTGCGACACCATGGCATCGTGTACATAAAGTCGCGCGACACTGATGTCGCGTCACATTGCGACGTCGCATGGCTTGACGTTGCATCGCGTGGTGAGGGTCGCGTGACCCAATTTTTTACCGCCAGTCATGTGACACTGGGCGCCACGTGATGTGTCCCGACGTCGCGTGATGTAATGTCACACGACACTGGGAGTCTGGTGACACTGTGACGCCACCGCCACGGAGGGCCATGCACTTTGAGCACCTTTCAGATACACCAAAGAGACGGACAGTTTTCTCGGTTCCTTGATTTTGGCCTGTGGACATCGTAACTGTCTTACGCTGTTGCAGACCTGGCAGTGGCGCTGTAGGGGGAGTGTGTACGACAGACGCCTGTCCTGCGTAGCTTGCCCCGTAGTCGATGGGAACTCGTGCCGTCGTCGGTTGGGATGCTACGGCGATGTACGTGTCTCCTCTTCTTTTTTGCCGGTCACTTCTGAAGTTGGCCATCAGGATTGCGAAAGCCAACGACGCAAGCTTCCGGCTGCTGTAACATATTTTTCTACTGTTTAGGGATCGTTTTGGATAGCGGTCGGGTGCCAAATCCACTAATCTAGGACAGAGTTTAGGAGTCGTAGCTTTGCCTGGGTGGGAGGGTTTTTAGTAAATCAAAATTCCAAAGTGGGATTACACTTTCCTCGATGCGAGGATGTACTATAACCGGTCGCTGATGCCAGGTGAACGTTTGCGAGGCCATAATTCTAGAGCCCACTGAACTATTTTTTTTTTTTTGCTGCATTTTTTATAATGATTTTTACAAATACCCTTTTACTGATATTCTCTATGCCAGCATGCTTGAGAAAACTCTGAATAACCCGTAATAATGCATTGCCATTAAAAAAGAACAAAAGAAAAACTGCTTAAACCTAGGAATTTATGTAGAATCCCTTAGTTTTCCTGATGAGAAAATTACTCGGCCTATATGGCTCACCTTTTTCTTTTAATGCATGTTTGTAAGGTTGCTTTACATACTTTGTCTTGCTTGTAAATGACAATTATTTTTTAAAAGATGTACCCTTGCACAGTTATTTTTTGTGCCTATGATGTTGTAAAGGGTACAATTTTTTTTTTTCCACATGCTATGGCACCCATGAAGGTAATGCTCATCCAGTTAAAGACACGAGGCTGCGTTGGCTAACACTCCCAAGATATGCAGTGTTTTTCTCAAATTGCATCTGTTTCTTGTTTTCAAGAAATAATAAGTTTCGACATCTCAAGCAGAAGTGAATGTGTGACATATCTTCTGAGGCCCTAAACTCGTCAAATAGTAAGTTGGAGCCGAAAGTTTGCGAAGAGCGCCAATTGGATGCCGGCAACAAAAGTGCGAAGTCACTGTGGGATAGTGTAATCGGTGTGCTCTGTGAACTTTGGTCCATACCTTGTGTTTGACGAGTTTAGAGTCCCTGGACGACTTGCGCTGTTTCGTCACATAGTGGTGGTACAGCTCTGTACCAACATTACTAGAACAACTCGGTCGAGAAACTGCCATAGAGCCTGCTTTGAAAAACTTTCAGCCTTTCTACTCTGGTGAAGAAGGAAGACCCGAGAAGCTGTACTATGGTGGGAATGAAGTAATGACCGGCCGCAAGTCGGCAAGCCAGATTGGAAAGGCCGGAAAGGTTGCTGTCGCTCATAGGTGGCGGTAGCTGTCCAGAGTTTTGTGTCAACATTTTTTTGCCTGCGGACCCGATACTGGGGAAACTAGCCCTTAACAGCTCCGCTGTAAAAGTGGCTTCAATCAGTACTCGAGAACCAAAATGGCGGCGATCGCAATGCCGACATTTCTCCCGCAGCGGCCACTCCGGGTACTGCATGTCTGCATGTATTGGTTCAAGTCGAGTGGCGTAAAGGCCGGTGGTGCCATCTCGCAGTGCCACTTTACGGTAGCAATATAAATGAACTTTCATGTTTTGACTGGTCGCTAAAGGGTGGCGCCATTGATTGTTGTGGATATGCTCGAGACATGTGCTGCGCACCGCTTCTGGGAAGAACATGGCGTCCGAAATCTAGCTCGGTGCTGCACTGTGCTGCCATGATCTTCCCAAGGGCTGCACGTTGCATATGTGCCCCGTGCATCGACGCAGCTTGCGCTACTTTTGAAACATGAAGGGGCTTTAATTTATAGTTTGGTCTCAGTGGACGGGGAGCAGTCCGGGTTTCAAGGATGAATTTCCCAACTGAGAGTTTTAGTAACGTTGCTCCGTACATATGTGCAAATTTCCGACAAAAATAAAATAAAATAAATGCAGCCCGTTTTGTTTATTTCTAATGAATTATGTCGTAGAGCTGTCCTGTAATATGGGTATGTGACCACGTCATGCTGATATCACTTTTATCAGTTACTAACATTAGGTTAGCTCAGTTACGGAACTGTTCATAGACGATGCTTGCCCCCCATGAGCAGTACAACCCTCACTTACCACGACTTGCCTCCCGTCGCTCGATGCGCCAGACGGCTGCTCTGGTAACTGCAGTGCGTTCTATGGAATACCTACGTTTCGAAGCACAGAGTCCAGATGGCATTCAAGAACACACAATTACGAAACGAAAATCTAAGTGGCGCTTCATACGAAGGCGTGTATCACTACTGCGTGGTGCACGTTAAAGACCCCAGGCTAGCGGTTGTACTGCACTGGCTAAATTGCTCATCTACAGCGTGTGACTCGTCGCAACTTTAATGGCAGACCAACTACACGCTGTATAAATATCCCCACAACCCAATTATTATTAAGGGAGGTGGACTCGGGAGTTCCACAACTGAGGTAATCTAGTAACGTTGGCAGCTACTTGTATTTCATGACTGAGCAGGCGGCTCAATAAATTATAGCTGCCAAGTTTTTCTTTTTATTTTTGGCATAATTTTAGAGTAAATATATGTATATTCTTTTTTTTTGGACAGATAGCCAAACGCGTTGCCTCAGTATATTCGTCGCAAAACCAACGAAGCTCAACTGACTGAAGCTTCGCAACAGCTTGTCGTGCGGCCTCTCTTCGGAGTAGCGAAGGATAGACAGAAAGAGGGCAGCAGTTGAAAAGCTGAGACCAAACCAAGGAGGTTTGAACCGAAACCAAAACCATTTCATCCGCCATTTTCTTTTTTAATTTATGTTGGATTGACTTCTCGTCTTGCCTCGCAAAAATATCTGTAAAATAAAATTTAAATAAATGTTTAATGAAGCTCAATACGTGTCGATCATAGTTATTTACGCATTATGGAACTTTACTAGCATTTCGTGTTTCGGTTAGTTTCGGTCTCTGACCGGTGCTGCCGATGTGTGGAGCGTGGAACGCGAAGAACGCAGAGCGGGAACGCGAAGAACGCAGAGCGGGAACGCGCGAACCCGCGAACGCTGCAGCGACTGCAAGACCAAAATGACCAAGACTTCAGTATAGTTCTGGTTGTGAATTTTATTTGTTGGGCTGTTTGAAATCGGAACCATCGGAACGTCTTGAAAGCTCTCGCTACGTTTCCCCAATGCTACTTCAGATACCTTCGAAAGCAATCTGTAAGTATGAAAACAAAGAAGTGAATTAATAATGAGAAGCGTGTGTGTGTGCGCGCGTTGAGGCGGTTGTGGGCACACATATGAACCCTACAAGTACTACAGTATGGTGTACCTGTACTGCCTGGACATACTGTCATGCCGGAGAGTCGTCAGTTTCGTATGACTGTCACCAGTGGCGTAGCCAAAGGAGAGGAAAGCACGGCTGATTGCTCATCTTTTGTCTCACGCTGGCGAAGAAGCGGCCAAGTCTGTACCCAACATGGTACCATAGGTTCTTTTAGGCTCCATTATTTCTTCCTGTGTCACCAGAGTGCATTGGGGTCCCAAATAGGACTAGGTATATGCACCTCATTTCTGCCTAGCACGTGCCAAAGGTTTTTGTTTGTTATGTGTTCCACACATTTAGGGTTGCTTGTTTTTGTTTACCTTAAAATGTGACGCTGTCGGGATGAAAGGCGTCTGGTTAGCTCGCTGTCTGCAAGCCATTGGCGGCAGTGATGCACACACATTCCAGTTTGTCGTTAACTTAAAATGACTGTATTTTTTCTGTTTGAAAAATAAAATGTCAGAATTGTGACTGCCTGATTAAAGTTTCAATGCATCCATATTTATTTATTTTAAGTGGAGGAGCAGACAAACATTCAAATAAAAGATTTATATATATATATATATATATATTTTTTTTTATATAGGCTTTAGCAGATGATGTGTTTGAACAATACTTCACTGATAGTGCACTCTGTCGTTTGGAAGCCTGTTGTAAAGAGTGGTTTTCCGTTCATGCAATGCTAATGCTAAGAAAAAGCATGCAGCGTCTTTTTTTTTTTTGTGTTTGGTGATAAGTTTATGCGGTAATAACTGAGTAATAGCAATCTGGCAACAGAATGAAAAATTTTGGATCGCTCTGACTTCTTGCAAACAAAAAGGCTGCGGCAAAGTGTAAATCATTTTGCAACCTTTTTTTTTTAAGGTAACTAAAATTACATTGCATGATAATATGGTTCCAGCGAGGCGTCGATGGCCTAAATAAGAAATATCGCATGGATATGCAAGGATTTGTTTTCGACAAATATCGCAACCTACCGCTTCATCCGCGGTATTTGGCGACTTTGTAGCGACCCAGCTGCCTTTCATTCTTTAGGAAGTGCTAAGAAGGTCGTGCATAAACCTCTGTTCTCTGACCCATTCACTGTTCCACTGTAGTAGCTCACACCCCCATGTCGCGCCCGCCCCACAAGGAAAAAGTTGAAGGTCGGCCGACGCGGTTTAAAGTTTTTGTCGGGGCCTTTTCCAGCATGTCATGTATCGCGTCCGGGTGACAGTCGTAGACATTTTTTAGGGGAACGGTAGGAAGTCTTTCGGATGTCCGGCCTTCGGCATGTGTTCGCTGCCTTCTGCCATGCTTTGTTTGCATGTGTACACAACTCGAGGCTCGCGAGACGCCCAAGCTTTGCCGATCGTAGAAAGCTTGCGCTGGCGGCACACAATTGACAGACGTCCCTGCCAGGATCCAGACAACCGACAGCATGACATGGCGGCTCGCGTGACGTCATTTTTTGCCGTTTCGGGACCACTTTGGTTGGATGTTTGGGTGGGATAGAACAGTATAGCACACCGGTCCAATCCAAGGGCTGTACTGTCGCTGCAGACTTTGGCGCACTGTACGTGTGGAACTGCTAGAGGGCTGTGGACGTACGGCCCAAATGAGTCGTTTGTCGTACATTTCTCAAGTGTGTGTACCTCTCCATACTTTTACTTTACTTTTCGTTCTTTTTTTACTCGTCCTTTTTTGTTTTTGCTTGGGAAGGGGGAGGAGGGAGGAGAGGGGAGGGAGTATTGCAACCACATCTCATATGTAAAACAGCACCTCCGGTTTTTCTCCACCTGTATCCGGCATCTTCCTCCTCCTCCTCCTCGAATAGGCGCAATCCTGTCGATGTTAAAAAGGCGTACAACATTGGAAGCTCCCTTGGTTACCTATTGAGTCCCACTTTTGCTTGCTGGTTACAGAATTGGCGCAGAACTTAAGGAAAGGTGCAGCGTCAGTGCCGCATCGTTGAAGAGTATGGCCGTTTTCAAATGCCCTTCCATGCAGTTGTGCAATCCTGGATATATAGATAGGGTGAGGAGAGCGGTGCAGAGCACATGCTGCGGCAGCTCAAAGGCATTTCGGTGCCTCGGGCTTTCAACAGGACCGAATGAGCAAAGAAGGGAAGAAACACAAGCACTAAACCGCATCTTGCGTAGCTTATAAACAACATTGCATGCTAGACCCGAGGAATATTTCCATCCAGTGTATAATTATTCTCGATTTAGCAATATATGAAATGTAGCTAAGCCTTCCTTATGATCTTACCCTTTGTTCGTCTTTTTGTGTAACTTGTGCATCTTCATTCCTAAAGGGGCACTGACACATCAAAATCATTTTTTTTTTATTATACGAAACGATTGAAAGCGGTGCCGGGACATTACCCTCGAAATTTGAAATTTGGGAATTCAGTATTTGTGAAGTAAAAAAACAATATCCAAATGCCGAATTCGAAGTTCCCGCGCGATCGGCGCCTTGACGTCAAAAATTGCGGAGTCCTGTGAGTCCACTTTTTTTCACCACTTCCTGCTGTTGCCATGGCGACCCAAAGCGAGGAGGAAAGGAGCGAGAGCAGGCGTTGCGGCGGACCGGTTTTGAGCCGTGTCGCCTGTTTTCCGTTGGAGGCAACGTTACTAAAACACTCAGTTGGGAAACTCCCATAGAGACAGATTTAAAAAAATGGCCCCAATCTGTCTCCCTGTCTCCGATCACCGAGCTAATGTAGAGTGCCTTCATACACACGCGCGCTTTTGCTTGAGTGTTGCCAACTCCGCCATTTTTCCGCCCAATCGTTTTTTTATGCATTTTGAAGTGCGCGCGATCCGGTGTCACTCAGCTCGAGCGCGTAGCTTTGGCTAATGCATAGACGCCATTTTACCGCCCAAGTCACGCAAAGGGTGCGCGAGAGCGTCACGCGCTGGCATATTCAGGCAACAATGAATGTCTTCACCCTGAGACAGACAGACATCTAGGCACCCTAAGCTAATGACGAACACAACGCCACCATTTCTACCGCAGCGGCCACTCGAGGAACTGCACGTGACTTCTATTATGGCTCTAAGAGCAGATACAGCGGTAGAGGTTACAGGGGTGCCACCCCCGTCAACCCAGCGGACGCGCCGCCGCGCCGCGTTCAACTAGATAGATAGAAAAATCGTTTTTATTAGAAAGAAAGTCACGTGGCTGAAGCCGATAGCCGAAGCCGATAGCTCAACTGTTAGTTAGAGTATTGGGAGGAGGAAATCAAAGGAAGTGTTGCTGAGCCGGAAGCTCAATATGTCACTTTTGTTAGCTCAACTGCCGAAGTTAAAATGCACCTAGGTCTGGACGCGCTACCTGAAAGGCCCGCTGAGGCATGGTTGTATGAGAACAATATTAATTGTTCCGCAAAACCTTGCGAACTAAAGATGATAAAAACATCACGCGCCCATCATTTGGTACTAAACTCCAATAAATTTCATGCAAACAGAGTCTTTTCCGTTTTGTTTTTACGCAAAAATAGGCTTTCAAAAAGCTCAAGGCGACCACAGTACAGACAAACGATAAAGAGTGGCGCTGTTGTCGCATTTAGCTCGGTCTCGGTGGACGCCAGCGGCCCAGGTTTCGACGGCGAGTTTCCCAACTGAGTGTTTTAGTAACGTTGGTTGGTAAGTAACGTTGGTATTTAGTAACGTTGGTATTTCAAAAAGAAAGGCCGTAGTGGGTTCGCAATTGCGTTAAAAAACATGTTTTAGGATTGCCGTAATTAAATGTTATAGAGATGTCGCCTACAAAGCTTCTAAATTTCATGATTCTTGACGGGAGGCGGGAAAATCAAACGCCAAAAATAAAAAGGCGCGCGCGCGCAGGAAAGTTTTTTTGGCGATGCGGTTTTTTTTTTGCGTGTCTATGACTGCAACTTGCATCGTTTTAGACAATAAAAATAAATACGACCTTTGGGGTGTCAGTGCCCCTTTAAAGGGATACTACAACGAAATTTCGGCGCTCATTTTTTGGTCTATATGTGTTCAAAAGAGCAGTATCACATGGAACATACCAATGTCTTGTTAAAAAAGTCTCGAAAAGGAATTTTAAAACGAATTAAACGATTAGCAAAGAGCACCTGGTGGATGTCGCTAACGCCTCGTTTGTAATGCTCGTCTAGGAACCTTGACAGCTAGTGACGGAGGTTGTCTCGTCTCCGGCCACGACGAGAGAATGGGGGAAGGAGGAACTCCCCTCTTCCCGAGAATGCCTTTTGTGTGTCGCAGTAGTCGCTATTGTCCCCCTAGAAGATTAACCCGTCACTCAAAATTCGTACAAAAGCAGCCGCTTCGGTGACTGGAACGACTAGGCCATCCTCTCGACGTCAGCCTCGCCGTAGCTTTGCTCGTCTTGAGACGACCTACGTCACGATTGCGTTGGATGTCACGTCCTCTAAGCTGGGCCTTCTCCGAGCGCTTGCCAGAGTGGGCCGTTTATAACGAAAAATACAGCCACCAGGATCAAAATACAAACGTGCGATTGTCATTTACGGATATTGTGGATCGTTGAAGTATCCCTTTAAGTAGTACCCCTGCCGACCTGCTAATGTCTTTTGTGGTACCGCTATAGTACCGGAACAGTACTGCAAGAGAGGTGGTACTTTAACATCACCCATGCCATGTTAAAATGTGCAGGTGAGTCATTACAAACCTCATTTTTGTAGCCTCCATGGATGAAATCGTATCTCTTTCTGATTGTTAAATAAGGTAGTACGTAAATTTTATTATATATGTTCTTGAAAGGTGTTCACGTCACGGAAGTACATAATGTAATAACTTAATCTGGTTCACATTTCATGGCAGATGCAACGAATCTTGCTAAAAAAAATGTAAATGTAAAAACAAATGTACAGTTTTTTTTTTTTTTTTTTTTTTTTTTTTTTTACAACAAAAATAAATTATGTCTGACCGAATGCTCATTCTCCGGCGAACGGTAGGCCCGAACTAAACGGAGCCGTTTATTGGAACTAAATGCCAAAGTTTAAGCACGAACCGATCTTTTGGGCCCATTTTCGCCGTTTTCGGTTTCTGGCGCCAGAGAGCACCATGCATTTGAGAGCTCCGTCAGCCACCGATTTCCCGTTGACGATTACAGAAAATTATTTATAACTTTTGAATAAAATGTTGGTCTTGCGCCGCCTAGTGCATTATTTATGCACGTGACCAGCACCAAGGGGATTTACACGGGATGAAGAGGACAAGAGGGCACGTTCAGGCAGGGGTTCAGGCAGGTTCAGGCCGTCGTTCAGGCGTTCCTGCGGTTCCTGTACGGCCGTGGCGGCCGTGACGCCGTGATTCGTGCAACGGCACGTGTGTGTGTGTGACCAGCTGGTACAAGTTTTGCGCCGTAGTCAGCGTAGTCCGCGGTGGTGCCGCGGGTTGCCAAAGGAAGTGCGTTGCAGCCGTGGTTACGATGCTGCCTGCGTACTGCAGTGACATCTCGTCTCGAGTGGCGTCACAGCGCTTCTAGAAATGACCCAGGGATGTGGAGTAAGGAACTGCAGGAACAAGGCGAGAGGCGGCAGCGGCGTGCGTTTTTTTCGCTTTCCGTGCGAACGGAACCACAAACGGAAGAGAAGGCTGTGGATCGCTGCTGTTGCTGCTGTGAACCGCACGAAGGCCGACGGCACGCCGTGGGTGCCATCGTCCAACTCTCGAGTTTGCAGCGCGCACTTTCACACAGGTAACCTAAGAAAATACATGCAAAAAGCACGCAGATTCTGAGGTTTAATAGGAGAGAAACTGAGGGAAAAATCTACGGCAAAGGGATGGAAATGTCTGGATGCCAAGCTAATGCTCGATGCAAAGGGTATAATCATTACCGTCCATCCAGCCAAACCTTACCTGCCCAACTTGATGACACGCCTCACATTGCACACCCCTTCGTGGTTCTGACAATATTCGGACAATGTTAGAAAAATGCGAGGAACTGGTGATCTCTTTTCGTCATAGTCTAGTTCTGGAAGGGACTGATAGAGTTGAATGGCAGGTTCAAACTATCGGCTTTTCGTTTGCTTGCGGCGGTGTCATATGGTTTTGCTTCGTTTGTTTTATGTTATCGTACATCGAAAAAGGTTTTCCCGTCACATAACACGCGTGGTGTTCGCAGCGTGACAGATACAATTCATAGATTTAACTTACCAGCTTGTCGCCTGTGAACCAGCTATCTTGACATACAAGGACTCTGAATGCACACTCCAAAGGTGACGGCTTTTAAGCCATGATGGTATCACCTAGCATAGCTGCATCGTCTGCGTTTGTGCCAAATGGGGCATTGAATTTCCCTAAATTCCACCTTAGTCTAATTGTGCGCTTTACTGCTTGGAACCAAAATTTTTTATTAACTTTCTGCACTCATTACTTTGTGAGCACCTGTTTATATGCTTCCGTCAAATAGTGTGGCGTGACGTTTCTCTCTCTCTTCTTTTTTAAGGCCAGCCGTCGCGGTATTCCACGCACCCGGATCATGTGCCGTCAATCTTCCACGATCAGCCACCTCGGAATAAGGCGCGCAGTCAAAAGCGGGCCAACCTTCGTAGAAAGCGGGGTGAGTTTATGCTGCACGAAGACATAGTCATCCATTCTTAAAGATAAAAACCAGATTGGAAAGGTAGCTGCATGTTTGACCATAGAGCGTCTGGTTTGGGAACTTGCACTAGCACTGTTTCGGTTGATCCAGTTTTGTTAACTCCTGCTATCCTATTTTGCGGTCCTGATTGCGGCTGCCGTTTGGCAACCTTCAGTTGTGAGCCTAGTGCCATTAAATAAGCTACTTTTCAGGGTAACCACTTCTGCTGTCTCGGTGCTCAAAATCACGATTGCGAGTTATCTAAAGCTTGGTCTGAAATGGCAGGAAAGGATTTTCTGTCTCTCGGAAATGTTAAAATAGTTGCGACAGGGCAAAATGAGGCTGCCCAAGCTTTTCAACACCAGTCTAAAGCTTAGGAAGTCGAATCACAACAATAGCCAATAGACCTTATTCATTGTTAGCGCCATCTCTCGGTGGCTGTGCAAACTTCCGGAGGCTTGGTGCCACCTTTGCAGCTTCTCCACTGTCCCTGCCGCAGTATGAACCCCACGCTCCCTGCAGTGGCGTCAAAAAAGGGGGGAGGGGGGGGGGGGGCTGTCTACCCTTGGTGCAGTACTCAGGGGGTTGCAGTTGGGCAGTGAAAGGGGGGGGGGGGAGGTGTCTTTGCGGGCCACCGCCTTAAGTGCCGGCGACCCTAGTGACCCCACTGGCTCCTTGCAAAGCAACCGGCGTGTGCTCTTTTCGAGTGTATTAGGTGCCAGCCGTTACAGAAGAAGTCATGAATAGTATTAAGTTGAGGTTTGTTTTTGGTGGTTTCATATTTTTTTTTTTTTAATAACAAGGAGCTTCATATCAGCACTACAGCAGGCCCATTTATACATTTGTTTAAGAATCATACGTTAACTAGCCCCATCAGTGGATTATGCCTGTTTGCACAAGAACAATAATTTTTAAAGAAGTATGAAAACCAAATTTGGAGCTCCTTTCTTTGCTTAAACATGAACTGCGTTAAAGTAGAACCTCACCAACACGAACATTTTGTAGGATAACGCAAGAAAACATATTTTTACTGAATGAAATGATAACCAAAAACCTTGTGGATGTCTGTGAAGCTTCGATGGATTGTTTTGACGACAACATGTTAGTAAGAGCAGCGCCACAACAGGAAGTACGATCACTCTTGGAGATTACTTAGGCCTAAACATGGTACCGAGGTGCTTTGGTGAAGAAAGTAACAGCAGAGTTGTTCACCATTCGTTTTAGTATTTTGTGGTCTTTTGGGCAATGCTTGTTTGGGGTGGTTTGGGGATTGTGTGCGCGCGATGTAATATCGACGCCGCAAAATGTCTGCTTGAACGGTCCCAAATGCCCACCTCTCCTGATGATGGGATAGCTGCCTTGGTAGACTGCAACAAACTTAATTGCTCCGAAGTCAACACACTACCATCGTTGCTAAAAGGAGACGGCCCGCATGGCTTTGCAAAGCGGTGCACACGTAAAGAAGTCGCTGCGACGTTTTTGGTGACTTCGGGAATGCGGGAGGGAGCTGATGTCCCTGGAAGATGCGTTTGAACTAAAAGAGTGTTAGCAAGATCGACGTAAATACCTGTTCGCACTGGGAGCAGAACCACACCGGCACCATGTTCTTCTGCGTTCTTGGCAACCGATTTGGGAACAGTCTTTTACAACTGATTTTATGAACCGCTGGTCCACTAAACAATTGAACTCAATGCTGACGTGACGCTCGGCAGAGAATGTTTGAACCGGCATTGAGTAGCTCCCAACAACTGCTCTAACGCGACATGTGTTGGCGTATTGTCATGTCGGAATAAAATGGGCATACTAAAAAAAAGTGTATGTACCCATGTTGCGAAGGCAATCCACATGACATTTATTTGACCTCTATAACAAAAAAAAGGAGATAGAATCGAGGAGAGTGTCCCTTTTCGACTAGAGCGTTCGTCACTGCTTCATCTGAAAACAAGCTAGGGACGATGAGGGGAAAGACTGACGACCCTCTTACCCCAAAATAGAGGTCATGGTTCAAACTATTCATACAAGAAGGGTCCATAAAGGTTGCGTGAGCATGTTCCATTCAGCATGCTAGTCGATCGATTGTGTGTAGATGGTCTTTTTCCGGGTCGTCGGAGCAACATTGCATTGGAGTGCCTTGCTAAGCCTAGCTTTCCTAGATATAGTCCTTGGCGGTCGCTTGGTCGGTGCGACCGTTATCATTGTAGCTTTTTCGGGTATGCTTGGTTCCAGCGTTTGTCTCTTCTAGGGCATTCAGGTTCAACTACTTTTTTTTCTTTTCTCTTGCTGCTTGAAGTGATGACGCTAGAAAAAGCACATGGAAATGCAAATTAGTCGTCGCAACAATGTAAGCGAGTGGTGTTGCTGGGGATGTAGATTTGATAATAAAAAAAGTGCATAAACCTCTGGAGCTGTACGTCGTAGGATTTCATCGTAGCTTACCAAAAACTTGCAAGAATGTGGCTTCATGAATATGAATTTCTTCTTAGGTTTTGTCTCATGGTCGTTACGTGAATAAGCTCTGTTACCTGTTGCAGACGACGAAGACAAGGCAGAGAGGGGGTCACACAAATACGACTAAGCCAAATCGCTTTTCGGCCATCATGGCCCCTGGTGATGTAGCGGCGACTTCGTCCCACTGCTCTAGTCGCGTTGGTTGGCCATTGCACACTCGAGGCAGCACCGTTGGCTCTGTGATATGCTACAGCCCTCGGGTACCTTGACTAAGCGAGATTATAACGCGTTGATGCCTCCAAGTGTCAAAGCTTGTAACTACGGTACGCTTGGCCCTTCAGGGCATGGTGACAACAAGGCCATGCTGGATCTGCCGGATTTCCTGAGACGCATCGCGCCTTTTGATGGCTGATTTAGAAGCCCTCGCCAAAATCCCATTATTTAGAAGGAAAAATATAGCCATCTGCTTAAAATACAACCATGCAATTATCAATTACAGGCTTAGCTGATCCCATTCGACTTATTTCTTGGTGTTTTCTCTGTATATTTCAAGCATTCAGTGTCTCTTTAAAGATGGCGTCTGAAAAAAGGTTGTCGCCACGTCCGACAGATGGCGGGCGAATCTGAATAAGCTCTATTGCCCCCCCCCTCTACACTAAGCACCAAGATGGCGGCACCAGCAAGAAAACCAGGAAATTAAGTGCCAATACTCTCTAGGCGTAGCCTATTTAGTGACTTGAAAGAGAAAAGTATGCATAGCCGGCTGCTGCGCAAGTCAAGGGAATGCGCAAAACTTTGTTGATGCTCGAAAATTGCTTAAAAAAATAGAGACTGAATGTAGAGTGTAGGATATTGAGCGCACATGACCATTTTAATTAGGTCGCTTGGTCGATTTCTTGGTTTGTTTGGTGTAACAGTCGTTCTGTGTTGCATATATCCAACCATGCAGGCACCAGTCATGCTGCTATACCAACTGACAACAGGCTACATAACGGTGCGTAGCCCGCAGCTACAATAAAATGCTTTTCTGCTTTGGATATTTCCTTGGAGAACTAATTTTGAATATTTTTGAGCAGGTCAGCAAGAGCTCGTGCAGTCAGTGGCAGACTCCGGTGAGTGCGTCTAGGATGTGTGTACAGTCTATCCAGTGTCGCAGGGTTGCATTGGGATGGTTTTGCGTATGTTCTTGAATGCACTTTGTCCCCATCAGGCCAATTGATTTCAGTTCACTCAGCAGTACTAACCTTATCGATTCAGCTTGGCACACATCTTCTGATCGAGTTGGCCAAATTAGAATAAAACCTCTTATTTTACTGTGGGACTTGCAAGTATCATTTCTTATAGGATATGTGAAAGCTTCATTTCAATATATGCCTCCAAATGTTATGCTCCGGTGCACGCTACTTTTGGAAACATTGTTTTTGTGAACCAGAAGTAGTAGTTTACTGTTATTTATGAACTATTCATTAATTAGTTAATGCAGGAATTCTCAAACTTTTTAACCTTAAAAACACCTATCTCTGGAGGGCCAAGGAACCCCTCCCGATCTTTGCATCGATGCAATAAAGCAGTGCAGACAGTTGACCTTACAGACAATAATGCACATAAAACGGTTGTGTTTGACTTGTAGTAATGCATCAATAGATGGCTCCAATCCACTAAAATAGAACTTAAACTTGAGCATTTCGGGGCAGGAATGATTAAGGAAATTAGAGAGCTCAGGGAACACCCAACTCCACTCTGGGAAACTTCTGGGTCCCTAGGAATCCAGTTTGAGAACCCATGAGTTTATAACTAGTTAATTAACCAGCAAACCATTTTTTTTTTATCAGCTTTCAATTTGTCATCTGAAACAGAAAAGATTGAAGCTCTGCATAAGTCGACCACAATATTGTCAGGATTATCCTGACATGAATTTGTCAAACCGAAGGGTAATAGTTTGAGAAAGCTTGCAAGATTTTGTAGACACCCGTGAAAAGTTTGTAAAAAGAAACCTTTGATTTGGCAAGGTCCGCTGCGGACAGGAGCATTCTGTGGATTAGTCGCTTTTTCCTATCTGAATGGCGATTTTGAGCTAGAAAGTGGCTTGGGGAACATAGTTTCTGAGCTACTTCATGCTCAATTGTGTCATTCTAGCCAGATCAAAATAGCTGAACGTGTGCGTTTTAATAGTTTTCATTACTGCAATCGAAGAGTGCCTCAAGCATTTGTGACTACCTCCATTGGGGTTGTTTTTATTTTTGTCTTTTGTAATATTCACGCAAGTATGTGTGTTTGTGCAGGCGATGGAGATGCACGCCTGGAGCAGATAAGCTGCCCATTGGAAAGCACGACAGACAGCCTCTTCAGATGCTGTTTCTGCACCCATGTCACCGGGGATCAGCGTGGAATTGTCAACCACCTTATCATTCACGGTGATGAAGGGCAAAGCCAGAAGTCTTCCTCTGCAGTGCAAGACTTGATACGTCGCCCAAAGATTCACGGGGGAAAGAGTCTTTTGAGCGCCGACTGTCTCCAGCAGCATTCAGCAGACCGTTTGATGTGGGCACTCACGTTTGAGCGCACTCGAGTGAAAAACCTTACAAATGCCGCAAATGTCCCGAAGCATTTGCTAAAATTAACCTGCTGGCCACCCGCATCCGAACCCACACTATTGGAAAACTTTACAAATGTAAGGAATGTCTGAAAGCGTTTTCACGAAGCAATTAATCTGACTTCCCACATGCTAACCCACAGAGGTTCAAAACCTTACAGATGCAAGTACATAGTGCCCCAAAGCCGTTTCTTGGAGTGGCAGTCTGGTAGTTCGCACCCAAACGCACGGAGCTAATTGGTTGTTCAGGCCTACCAGGTGTCTGAAGTCCTTCGTTTCGAAGGTTGACTGGCTCGCACATGAATGAACACAGGGGAAAGGCCTTACAGGTGCTAGCAGTGTTCCAAAGCCTATACCCAGATAGCATTTCTTACGTAGCATATTCAAATGCATATGGGCAAGAAAGAGACCTTCTGACACCTCCAACCCGCCACATCCAAGTGCACATGGGCGAGACCTTGCAAGTGCAATGTTCCAAAGTCTAAGTTTATTCACCACTGGAGACCATTACTGCATGCCCAAACACACCAAGAGGCTATAGATATTTCCCAAAAGTTGTTGGGGTTAGTCTACCCGAGTGGCTTCATAAGTTTCTGTGAGAAATCAGCCAGGGAACAGCCTTTTATGTGTCAGCAGTTGGTGTTGCTCTAGTCGGCGACATATTCATATAGTCGGGCAAGACCATCCCCTTTGTCGGGCATGAAAACGAGGCTAAGCCATAAAATGCTGCTTTCTCTAGATGCATTAAAGTGCACGGCAAGCGGGTGTAAAGTTGCAGCAACCAGTCGTCTCAACTCGAGGCGACCCAAATGGATACCTGTAGTAAAGTACTTTACGTGGAGTTGACGGCTTCTGAATGGGCGAGCACGTAAACTGAAGACAGCCCAGTGCCGGAGCTAGGGTGACATAACCCGTAGCTAACCGCCTAAAGGCAAGCTGTGTCAAGGCATGGTTGACTAGGGCTCACACATCTAGTGTTTCACCCAGCTAGTGGTTCACCCAGCCACTGTGCTGACCCAGACGGGAACCGGCGGGGCCCGCGGAGCACCGAGCCGGGACGAAATGTTGAGACAACTGTTTGGGACGAATTTCAAGGCGAGACAACCAACATGCTCGGCGCGGCCGGCTTTTATTGACAACATGACGTCATATGCGCGAGCCGTGTGCACGGCTGTACGGTGGCACCATCTCGAAACTGCACAGAATCGGATTACTACAGTGACGTTCCGATCACTAGCACGATTGGAGTTAAAAATAAAAATCTCAGTATTGTAAATTTGGAAAACAACTGGGGGGTCTCGTTGAATACTTCGTGTTAAAAATATTGCTGCACTGGTTCGTTTCACACGCACTGGCACCGTTCTCTCCCAAAATGCATCGCACTGGCAGAGTTGCACGGAGAACTGGACTAATAGCGAGTTCGTTTCACGGCACTCGTGCCCACGCGTGCCCACTCGCAGCGTGGAACGGGTTCGTTTCGGCCGGCGCTCCACGAGTGGTTGCACTCTCCGAGTTCGTTTCAGCGCTGAAACCCCACGCGTGCATGCACTCGCTGCACCGAGGAAATCGGGAGTGCGCCAAAATGCAATCCCGTCATGCCTCGCTCCGGCGGGGCCGGCGAGGAGCGGGAGCAGACGACGAGGGTTCGTCTGCTACGATGTGTCGCGGAACCGAACGGGAAAAAAAGAAAGCAGATTTTCTGATAGAAATCGCGTCCCGCGGGCGACGAAATCAAACGCGAGCTTGAATTGTGAGCGTCTGCTATTTCACGAAGGAAGCAATTCGACAACCCGCGATTTATTTGCAGGTTTTAAATCGCTCTGTTGCCGTACAAACGCTGAAATATACCAGTGTGTGAAGAAACGCTCAGAAGAAACGCAACAGCGGCCCCCGAGATGTCTATCACCATCCGTGTGCGGGTGAAAAATTTAACATTTGTCGATAAAACTCCCCCAGCAGACACCTCTGACTGCCCAATAAGCATCAGAGCAAGCTAAAGATGGTGACTTTACCCGAGAATTGGGCAACATCATCATGTTTAACATTTACCTACGCAGCTAACTTTCCCCGTCGTATTTTCTTCGAGAAAGCTCTCGTTCTCGACGCCCTCGCCAAGGCTAATATCTAATCCACCTATAATGACGATCCAAATCGAAAGTCCCAGTTTTGCTGGATATTCCAACAGGCTAGTTTTAAGCCGTACCCTTTCAGTGGTTCACGCATAATACCATGCTCAAACGGATCAAGCTTCTGCTCGGGCAGCATCATCAGTTTTCTTCAGTGTAAACGGTTATAAGGATTGAAAGATCGCAACCAGCTGCTTTGTAGACAGCTGGTTGCGGAAATTTACGCCGTCTGTAACTATCTCTACGGCAGCCGAGCTGCTTGAAGTCATCCCAACTATAAACTACAGGTTGCAGCTCCCAACGTTTGTAGATAAACGTTGGTAGCCGACTGCATTCTCGCATTCCCACACACCACTCGGAACAGAAAGGCGCTAGTTTCGGTTTGAAGTCGGTACCTTTTCTACAACATAGATGGCGGCAGCATCAGTCTCCTGCACTCGGTGCATTTGGCGAGTTCGTTTGAGTCCAGTTTTCCGTGCAACACTCTGTGAGTGCGATGCATTCTGGGAGAGAACTCGAACGGTGCCAGTGCGTGTGAAACGAACACGCCCAATGCACCGAGTGCAGAAGACTGACGCCGCCGCCATCTATGTTGTAGAAAAGGTACCAACTTCAATCCGAAACTAGCGCCTCTGTTCGGAGTGATGGGTAGGAAGGGTAGGAATGCGAGAGTGCAGTGGCTACCAACGTTTATCTACAAACGTTGGTCGCTGCAACCTGTAGTTTATATTTGGGATGACTTCAAGCAACTCGGCTGTCGTAGAAATAGTTACAGACGGCGTAAATTTTCGCAACCAGCGGTCTACAAAGCAGCTGGTTGCGATCTCTTTATAATCGCTTACACTGAAGAAAACTGATGATGCTGTCCGAGTAGAAGCTTGATCCGTTTAAGCATGGTATTATGCGTGAACTACTGAAACGGTACGGCTTAAAACTAGTTTGTTGGAATATCCAGCAAAGCGTTTCGTGGGACTTTCGATTTCGATCGTCATTACAGGTGGATCAGATATTAGCCTTGGTGAGGGCGTCGAGAACGAGAGCTTTCTCGAACAAAATACGACGGGGCAAGTTAGCTGACGTAGATAAATGTTAAACATGATGTTGCCCAAGCCTCGGGTAAAGTCCCGATGTTTAGCTTTCTCTGATGCTTATTGGGCAGTCGCAGGTTTCTACTGGAGGAGTTTTATCGACATATGTTAAATTTTTCACCCGCACACGGATGTTGATAAACATCTCGGGGGGCCGCTGATGCGTTTGTTCTGAGCATTTTTTTTTACACATATCTCGGTGGTTATACGGCAACAGGGCGACTTAAAACCTGCAAATAAAGCAGGGTTTGTCAATTGCTTCCTTCATGAAATAGCACACGCTCAGAATTCAAGCTCGCGGTTGATTCCGTTGCTCGCGGGACGCGATTTCTATCAGAAAATCTACTATTTTTTCGTTTCGGTTCCGAGACGCATCGTAGCAGACGAACCTTCGTCGTCTGCTCACGCTCCTCGCCGGAGCGATGCATGACGGGATTGCATCTTGGCGCACTCCCGATTTCCTCAGTGCAGCAAGTGCATGCACGCGTGGGGTGCCAGCGCTGAAACGAACTCAGAGCGTGCAACCACTCGTGGAGTGCCGGCTGAAACGAACCCGCTCCACGCTGCGAGTGGGCACGCGCGGGCACGAGTGTCGTGAAACGAACTCGCTGTTTAGAGTGCATACATTAGTGCAACCCCACCCTTCGTTAGTGTAATTCTGAACCAACAGATGGCGGTGGGATCACCTTCCAGGCCTTTACATCAAGGCGAGAAATCGTCTGTGGTGGCGCTTCGATACAGTGGGATATTTTTCTATATCCTGATTTTGACATCCCTGGTCCCTTGCATGCATGTTTTTCTCTGTACGAGCTTTCTTTGGAACACGCACGGCTGTGCCAGTTCTCGTGCAAGAAACCAGCTGCCTACGCTCTGAGCTCACGTCTCCAGCAAATGTGGGCAGAACGAAACGCAAAAATAGTTATGAGCCAAATGGCGAGACACACGCACAACAAAACCACCGACGCGTTAAAATATATAAAATTGCCTGTGCGCCGTTATCGGAGATTTCAGAGGTCAGTTACACATATTTCAATGTGGTTAGATTTATATTGACACGAAAGAAGGTGATGGAGGACGAATAGTGAACTGAAAAATAAAGATTTAATCGGCCTACTTGTGCCAAACAAAAAAGTAAAGAAAGGGCGTCGAGGCAGCAGAAGAGCAGGCGACGATTCGGCAACGTAACAGAGAGTGAGAGCGAGACTGACTCGACAAGGTCGCTGGCAGCTGCTTATCATTCTACAGTGCGTCACCATCTCGAAAGTTCGGCAAAGAAGGTTCGAGCATCACGCGCTCGGAGCGAGGATGAACTGGCACTTTCGAGAACAAGAAAGCAGGGCGAAAGTTACGTTTGGTGCAAGAATGAACACGAATCTTCTATAGTCGGTTGCAAGCTAAGAACAATCTTTTAGCTCCACCCACAAGCGCATTGCGCCCATCTGAAGTGCCTCCACCGTCGAGAAAGTAGTTCGCTAGCAACGTTGCTTTTTTCTTCCTCCAGGAAACGTGTCTTAAACTACTACACTATTTATTTAATTCATTCAGGACATTTAAATAAGTTAGAATACGTTTTTGTCAACGAAATAGCTGTTTAGTAAAGAAAGAAAGTCATGTACAATGTACCGTCTTCCCAATTCATTTTCTGTCCAAGATACTGTCTAACATACCGTCTTCCAGCTCTCAGCAGTGCTAAGCCTTGCGCCCGCTTCGAAATTTTCGTTGGCGATAGCGTCGCTGGATTCTCACGTTGTCGCGCAAAACCTGCTGCAAACGCAAGCCGATACAATTAAGATTTCGTGGCGTAACCTCGGGCACGTAAAACACGGTGCAAAAAAGCAGAATAATTGTCCCGAGAAACTAGCGTCGCCATGTTGAGCTTTTTTTTTTTTTTTTCAAAAGGATCGCGATTGGTTCACGGAATCGTGACGTCATGAAAACGATTGGCTGGCGTTTCTCGGCGTAGGATTGCATTTTCCTCTGAGAGGCATTTCCGGTTTTTTCTTAGCTTGCAACCGACTATAGAAGTCCGTAACCGAGCGTTGCTCTCTCAGCTGTGCGGGCGGCAATATGTCGGGCCGGCCCTTTTGTCGTGCATGTGTTTGGCTCTTTGTGGATTTCCAGGAAAACGTGATGACGTGATAGACATGGGTTTCCAAAATTCTAGCTTGAAAAATTAACTACCTGAAAAAATAAAAGAAATAATTTTTTTTTTCTTTGGAAAGGGGGGGGGGGGGGGGGGGCGGTCAGGTGCCCTATTTAGGTGGCTTGGTGTTTATTTTGACCAAAACCACGAGACTGGAAAACACGAAAAATGACACACAGGTTTAGATGTTGAGTTTGGTAAACCCAAAGTAGGACTGGCGCGGGAGTCATAATAAAAAAATGCCAAGGTTAAAAATTAACTCACAGTAATATACAATACGAATTAATTTTAATACGAATTCAGTGATGAATGCAACGACTGGCCAGGCAAAGATTCTGGGTCTGTGGATAGCCTTTGCGCTAGCAATGTACTGGGTGTCGCAAAACAAAAAAAAATCATTTTTTTTTGTTGTTTTTTTACTGCTAGAATAACTTTGGTATCGCCGAACGTTAATTTCCCGCCCACTGTAGCGCTAGAGGCCACAAGCAGATGTCAAAGTTTCAGCCCGATCCGATACCTTATTCAAAAGTTATAAGCGTTAGGCGATGCGTAGTTTATTTTTGCAGTAAAAAAAAAAAAAAAAAAGAAAACGTATTTTTTTTGCGACACCCTGTACCAGTCTTAATTTGGTGATTTATGCTGTTTATGCGTGCAAGTAGTAGTGTGCAAAAATAAAAAAAAAGATGCAAACAGGTAGAGTTTAACGTTATATAAAATCTAGTGTAAGCACGCACATGGTACGCTGATCAAGAATGAAACAGCTCTACATTTCACACTAGCGGTGAGGGCATCGTAAGTTAAGGGTGCTTCAAAACGTTAAGCATGTACACATATACTGCTCAGGCCATTGTGTTTCAATGCTCATAGCCCTTTATTACCCTCAGATTTGGAGTAAGTTGTCTCCTGTTAGCTCGGGGTCTTTAACGTG